GCGGCTTGTTTTACAACGTCGTTGCCAAGCGACGAAAACCCAACCCCGATGGCAAACACCGGGAGAGGCGGCTTGTTTTACAACGTCGTTGCCAAGCGACGAAAACCCAACCCCGATGGTAAACACCGGAGGGGGCGAATTGGGGGGCGTCGATTCTCGATGCTGGGGGAGATGTGCATATTTCCGTACGGGTTAGTCAGGGAGGGGGGAGGTAGAAGTCACAGGTGTACAAGCTTTCACAACCAACAACTTGGAGGGTACACGGCGAGTGTCGCATACCCTAGAGCGTGCAAAAGGGGAAGTGAAATGACAAAATTGCTGAGCAGAGATGGGTAAGGTTTGTATTGGGAAGACCAGGATTGCAACAGCAGCAGCAGCAGCCAGCTGCACTCTCCGTCTCTTTGTTCCACGATGTCGAGCGTGGTGTCCTCACGCGGTCTATCTTCCACCGGCGAAAAATCCCTTCGACAGGTCAAGAGCCGCGGGCTGCCTGCTTGGAGGTTGTTCTCTTGTTGTTTCTCTATCGGTCCCCTCTCACCCTGAAAATAATCGGTACCTACAACAGGCCCACGTTTCTGAAGTAGGCCACGGTTTGATCTAATTCCCCTTTCCAATTCGTATACACAAAGCGCGGGTTATCGCGACGTAGTCGTGCGCGAAAGGCGTCCATCCGTGTGGCTCACTTGCCCACTACCGTTAATCCGGGTACTTCCCAAAACAGCTAAATGACAGTCTGCTGTCTTGCGCGTGTTTTCCACCTTACCACTGTCGAAACAGCGGTCTCGCCACCTCCGCCCTCATGAACAACGACGGGTTCGAGGGCCTGCATGACCCCGGAGGAGACCTGTCTCCCGCGGAAGCAGCACTGTCCATCATCCTCCTGATCTTGGTCGCGTTGGTGTTCGCCTACCATTACTTCCTCGCCTGGAAGTTCTTGCCCGGGGGGTGGCTGGGGTGGGGGATGGTCTCAGGGCAGGTTGCGGAGCCTCCTCCACCTTCTCGAGCAGAAAACCGATACCTGCAGTACATGGCGTCGATCACCGTGATTATGTTGTACATCGTTCTCTTCTCGGCGTTCGCTTACAGCAGGGGGGACGAGTGGGACTACCACTACGTCCTCCTGGCGTGGCTCATGTCCCTGATCGCCGCGTTCGACGACTACATCAGCGTGGCGTGGCTGGGGATAACGACCGGCGTGTTTCTGCAAGGGGTCGGGGCGTACTCTTTTCGGGTGTTGATGCAAGGCAACCACGACTAGAGAGAAGACAGGCGCGCCTAACACGGGCGCCGTATGGTGTTTACTTTGGGCTGGCAACAACTTCTGCGCGCAAGTTTCTGCACTGTGCACCCCTAAATGAACTGCACTGGCTGATGAAATCACGCCAGTCCTAGATGGTTTGAGTGTGTTCGGGTTGTGCGCTTCAATTTGGTGTTGCGGTCTGAACGGTAGCCTCCTCCAGGCTGGTCATGTTTCCGTTTTGGAGCGAGGATATCGTCATCTTCTTTTCGTCTGCAAGACAAACTTGTTTTTCGTGGCCGGTTGAACGTACCAGGCCAGGTGTTTCATGTTGCTCATGGATTTTCCTCGTTGATCACAGCAGGGAATGGCACTGCCTCGTTGCGAGCAAGATCGTCGGATCACAGTGTGGGAGATGTTATAGAGGGGGAAATAATGTGAAACCGTTGGTTCTTGGTGGGTCTTGTTTTTTCTGAATGTTGATTTTTGCCGCTCTTTGCGGCACACCATAATCCGTGAGCATTTTGTGTGTACGCTTCTCTGTTGGGAGGCCCGAAAGAGGCTGTCTGTTGATGTAGTATCTTGCGGCGTTTTCTATGAACTGGCAGCTCATGGTGTCTGATCATTCCTCTTGAGGTGTGTTGTTGCTGAGATCGCATCAGTTTGGTGGTTGCAAGTTGCAAGTGTTTGAATTATCTATGTTGATACGGATTCTCATGACAGTTTCTTCGCATTGGGTGTTTGTTTGCTGGGTGTACATGTAAGCTGTATGTTTGTGAAGTGATTGTACGAGATTGCAAAATGTTGGTGTCTGGTGTACTACGTTGGTGGTGCTTTCCACTCCTTTTTATTTGCTGGCTTTGTATTTCTACCATCGCGCCTTTGACAGAATCGATGCTGATGAAAGCATTGACTGTCTGGCGGATCACATGCATGAGTGACAAAGTGGTCTTTTCAACTCTTGTTTTTGAACCCAAGGAGGGCACCTACACGGGTAGGTGTGACAGCATGTCGCCGCTTTGTTGGCGCTGCCATATGTTCCGTGCGAGATGAAAGCGTACCGTGTGAGAAGAGACGTCCATGTGCAGGAGTTGAGACCTCGTACCCAGATGTTGCACGTTCTGGCTTGGCTCCTTTTAAGAACCGCTTCAAACTTATCTCGCGAAATGTGGACAACGTTTGGCTGCGCCATTGCTCATTGGTACTGAATGAAGTGCATTCGAAACCTGGCCGCTACTCGAATCATTTCGGAAGTATTTTCATGGTATGGCCATTTTCAGGCACACGGAACCAACTCGAAATTCGTTTCACAGAAATAAATGTCGTTTGAAACGACACTAAACGCGTATCACGTAACTCCACGCTTGTCGAGGTGAACCCCCACATCCTTCGCATGCCCATAGGCTATACCACATGTATCCGGCTGCGGTGCAGTTTTGGCCTCCAAACGAAGCGCTGAGCAGGCCAAGACCAAGCATCATGTCTTGTTTCGAGGCCGTGCACAACCAAACACGTTAGACTCTCTCGCATTGGCCTATGGCTGAGAAACACCACCACAATCTTGGCCGTAGGTCGGTCAATGTCCTTCTCGGAGAAGAAGACGCTCCTCCCTCAGCCTTATCTCTGACTCCAGAATAACCGCACCGGTTGCACTGTCCACGCCGTGGCTCACGTACCTATGGCGCAGGGCAGGAGTGCCAGTGGTAGGCATAAACAGTGGGGTCTCACGTGTACACCATCAACACAGGGAGTGACCCTAGTATCAACACAGGGTGACATATCTCCCATTGCCGTGACAGCCGTTGAGGGTGTACATTCCAACTTCAAGTGTAGAATAAACGTGTCAAGGAAAGAAAGAACAATGTAGATGCACGTTAAAGACCGTCCCCCGATGGTCAAACAATAGCATCGTACGGTTTCGAAGAATCTTGTACCTGTCCTCCGTGGTCGGTCTATTTTGCCTCCACAATGTGGGTCGGCTGTCGCTACTCGCCGTGACCTCCACCCGGAGAATGACATTGCGGAAGAGATCGGAGATCGGCGCACATACAATGACTGCTGTTATTTGATGATGCCAGCTTTGTGTTCGACTGGGTACTGTGCCATTGTAGGCTCTTCTTCAGCCGATGTGCAATGAAATGACATGTTCTCAACGGCTATCCATGGCGCTGTTAGTCAACATTGATACTTTTTCATTGCCCCGTCCAATACTACTTAGTCTACCGCGAACTCCGGTGTGCCCCCAGGCAAGGCACAGCGAAGGATACTATCGAGCAAAACCCCTTCACGGGAAGTTGTGTTGGTTGGGGCGCAGATGCTACCACATGCACCCACCTGCCGGTAAGGTGTTCCACCTGACACGTGATATCTCACCCACAACACAATACTCTATCTACTGAGTAGAGGAACGGATGATTTAAGAGAGCAGCAGCAGAGTACAGATTCGTTAACTGTTCTTCACCTCATTGACTTGGGTAGGGCTCCTGAGCGCTGCTTGGAATGCACATCCTTCTTCCGGTCAACCGTAACGGTGCAAGTGTCGCGCACGAGGGACAGCGGGAGATATTCCACCTCTGTCGCAAGAAAGAACTGTCAACGGAGTGACGCCAAGTCATGCAATGGACGCGGCACTTTCAGAAGTAGATATCTTGTCTATATATACAACGTGCGTACGCGAGGTACGAAAGCTTTCGAGGAAAAATGAGTGGTTCCTGAGCTACAGCGGGCACGAGGCCCAAGATTAAAACAACCACGAAGAGACACACACTGTTGTACACGAAAATTCCTCGCATATTGTCGCGGAACCCCATCTACCCCCGATGGCAAAGGTATGCGCCTCCAAACCGCAGAACACATGCCAGCCAACAAACGAAGATTGTTAATGCCAGTCTTTCACGGGCTCCCTTTTCCTGCGGCGCTATCCGAATGGTTTGCTTGCTACACGTATATCGGTGAGTGGTGACCTCTTGCTACCTTCACATCTCGACATGCGATGGGATTGTTTATGAAAGCTACACGATGAATAGCTCACCTCTTGCTCCCGGTCGACATCCCCGGCCATCAACCCAGCCTCAGCCAGAGCGTGGTGACCCACGTCGTGCACGGACCATAGGCGTCTCGCCGCCATCCACCCCTTTCCTGAGCCATCCACGAGCACCGCAACCAGCCGTGCTGGAACCAGCGCCCCATGATGCTGGTGCTGGTGCTGGTGATGACGCTGATTATGAGTGTTTTGCTGGTGTTGTGGTTCGTGTTGGTGGTGGGGCTGGTTCTCGCCCAAACCCTCGGAATCGATCCCACCTCCTGTCAGAAGATGTCGAGGGAGGACATCGTCGTTGTCGTCGATGCAGGCATCAATACTAGGTCCGCTCCTCGCAGGAAAGCTGCCGCCTTCAACATCGTTGTCATTTTTCGGAGCGCTGGCGCCTTGTCCATCATCGGTCAGATCCTTCCTGCTTCCTCCTGAAGACACCGTCAAGTTTCTCAACGCTCCTTGATCCTCTTGCAGTCCATCACCAAAGCCAGGGTGCACGGAATCCACATCGGGCAATGGATCCCTACCCGCTTTATCATCGGTGGCATGGTTGGCCCGACGGTGCTTTACAGTCGGACCAGTTGAAGGGTCGCAAGAGCGGAGAGGAAAGCGGAGGAGGGGACACCGCAGTTCCTCTACACAATCGAGATCGAGGTTTATGCGCCTTCCGTGGTGATTCACCACAACCTGAGAGGAACACAAGCGAGCACGGTCGATTGTCGGGGGGTACGGGATATCGAGAAGCAGATTGGAGAGCACACGTTTGGTGAAGCGTGACGGTGGGGGTGAGGTGGTTTAGGGTGCCAAGCGGAGAACCTATGGGAGATGGCGCAAGGATAAGGCCCAGGGAAGAGAACTAGGAGCTTTGACTGTAGGACATGCCGAACGGACAAAATAAACGATGTCTCTGGCCTTAACCGGTGGTTTGCTTGTTTCACAATGTATCCTCGAGCCCAACGGGAATGTATCATCCTGGCGCTAACGCCTTCGGGCAATGCATGTCGTTCGGCGAACGCCTAATTCTTGGCGTGTTCGGGGAACCCACGTATCCTAGCATGTTCTTAGGTCTACCCACAAACCCTCATCAATTTCTCACGGATTTCTTCTTCTGAAGTCACCTGTACCCGACTTCCTGCCAGTTCCATCTCTCAACAACGTCTGAAAATCAGGAAAAATCCCAGACGATGTTGAAGGTGTGCCATAAGATGTGAATACTGGACCAGCATGCGCGTTATTTCGGGACTTAAAGTTTAAAGAGAGCGACACATTTATCATGCTGCCTGCTCCTTCCACCCGCGGGGGAGGCCGACCAGCTCACCATCGCTCGCGTGTAAAACTTCGCCGGAGGAAGCGGCCACCCCATCGGCGGTCTGCCGTCTTCCGGCTCGCCTCCGTCATCAGCCCCCACCGCGGCCGACTGCCTCGCAATATCTTCACAACGCTGGCACCCGTGCTTGGTCCTGCCGTGCAAACCGCACGCTGGGATGTCCGGGCACCCGGTAGGAGACTGGAATGGCGGAACCAGGCGGTAGGCACCGAGGAAGCTGGCCCTGTTGGGCGGGTGGACGGTGACGTGCACGGAAACAGATTGGTAGCGTGAGTTTCAATTGGCCTATTTCGCTGCGTGTTCGTCTTCACCATCGGCAAATATTGTAAACTTGCGGCCACGAGACCTGCCTCAAAGATACAACAAACCCTGGTGCCTCGTCCAGGCCGCTACCTACAGCCCCCCACTACTTTGTTTCAAAAGCAAGCTGCAGTGCATCAACGGGTTTCTGCCATGGTTCCTGCATGCCTCCGACTAACCTGACATGGCTGTCGACATCGATCGCAGCCGTGACGGTAACGCCGTCGAGGGTCTGGGTAGGCACCGTTCCATCCCTCCTCGCTTTCATCTTCTCCAAATCGAACTCGTTGTGACCCATGCGGAGGTGAAGCCCGAGAAGGCGAGCCTGTGGAAACCGGTGGCTGCACCCGGGGACCCCGCACGCGAACCGGGCGTGAAGGCTAGCATCGCCGCGATCGAGGACGGTGTCGCCGGCGCTCCCGCCGGCGCCGACGGTTTTGGCGGTCTTGGTTGGCGTACTTCCGGCTGGGCCCCTGCGAACTGTAACCGTTCCCTTGCTCACGGAGGTGTGCTTTGTTCCTCTGCCTGGCGCTGGCAGGCCTGACGCCCACGGTACGCCATCCGAAGGCCATGATGGGAGCATGAACTGGTCGGTGAGAGGCGTTGGTGCCGCTGCGGCGAGGGCGTGCAGAAAGGGGTAGGAGATGGGCGGGGTGGGTTGATAGGGTGGATAGAAGAAGCGATGTAGCCAAAAGGGGAAGAGAGAGAGAGAGAGAGAGAGAGACGACAACGAGAACGATAAGCGCAGTCGGCATCTCATCAATTTTTTCTGCACTCTCTCGCCAACAAAATTCCCTTGTCTACCTTTCGACCAAAACAACGGCACCCCGCGGTTCCTGCAATCGCACGCCTTTTCTCACCGAGTCTCCTTCGGAAGCGGTGCTCCTTCTCCTGGTGTCTGTCCGCCGATGCCTTCAGATGGAAAACCTTCCCGCAGCCGGGGTGCAGGCACACGTGCTTGCGGAACCCGCGGCCCGAAGGCGCTTGGATGACTCCGGCGGCGTTGGCCGAGGCGGCCGTGAGGAGCCCGTAGGCCGTTTTCGAGGCTTGCTCTGCCGTAGGAACCTGATCGAGTTATCATTGTTTGGGGCCGCTTTCGCATAGTTCGAGGTCATAGGGTTGTGGCCTGGGCTGGAATTGGCCCGCCTCCTTAAGGCCTAGTGGCGCATTGAGAGAGGGGCTGTTCTCACTGTGATGGATGCAGGAGGAAGACCGCGGGGTGATGGATCGAGCTACAGTCATGGTCCCTCTCTTCGGGCAAGCATGTGCAACCCTGGTTCACCTGCCCCACAGGAGGCGCCCACTGTCTTCAAACAAACCACAAGTTGCTTGTTCTACCTGCGCCTAAAAACGTCACGCGCCCAATATCGGCCACCCGCCCATAATACCCAGCCCTATTGACAACCCACGGTGGTAGAGGCAGCACTTCGTCATCGGGTAAGGCCCGTGCCGTAGTACACGGTCCAGCTCTGCTTTCCCTTCCTACGCTGACACACATCTTTGACCGGCAAGATCGAGTGGTGGCAACACAGCACTCGTTCTTGTGGACAAATGATTTTGAGGGCAGCGGCAATTGCAAAGCTATCTTTGTGGTCTGGCTACCGAAATAAGGTTCGCTTACCGCCTGCCAAGCCCCGGTGCTTGGACTTCTCGCTCTAGACTCCCCCCTAGACTTCAAAAGACGAACTGCAGACTCCATCTCTCCACCTGTCACTGTCCGCCGCTTTCTCCGCACACTGGAGAAGGTGGTGGGGGGAAAGGTGACACTAATGCGTTACGCCGACAAGCATTTCTCGAATGGAATGCTCCGAGAGTGGACGAGCGCTAGGACGTGGAGAGCCCGTGACGTTCAGGGCGAAAGACGAGTTCGAGTGGTGGGACGTCGGATTCTGTCCACTAAATGACATCTACGTCCGCTGGCTGCTACTTCACACAAGGTTGAATGTTGAAGAAACAAGACGCACATGTTGACCATAGTGTGGGTCGTTCAACCCTCCGTACGTTTCGAAATGAAGTTGTACACAGGCACGCGACTCTCTTGCTCTTGAAACGCCAAATCACCGTTTGGTTTGTGAGAAGCGAGGTGAGACGAAGAAAAAATAGCGCAGCAGCTTGAAAGCGCACATCTACCTTTGTTCAGGGGTGCCGCCAGCTTCACTCTCCGCGGTCCCGGGCCTCCGCTTCCTGCAGGCTTCCACCATCTTCGCCATGGACTCTTGCTTCTCCTCCTGAGAAAGTGGCCTGCTCCCCGGAGGGCTACTAGTACCTTCCCTTTCTCCTCCTCGTCTTCCACCGTTCCTTGACGATGGTCCCGGCGTGCATCGTTTTGCAGTCGCAGAACCAGAACCAGTAGTACCAGTGGCGCAGGCAGACACGGCTGTTTTGTAAATGCCGGAGGCTCGCGCATGGAAGCCTAGAGCTCGAAGAAGGTCGTCGAGTCGTTGCGCCCGCTTCTTGTTCGGAATCATTAGGCCCTGGAGTTGCGATGTGTTTGGTGTGCCATATGTTGGGTACGCGGAAAGGGTAGACTGGACAGTTGTTGTGCTGAGGACAGGACAGGCAGGAGTTTGGTGGGTTGGAACATTGCAAGAAAGAGAGGCGATCGAGCTTCGGGAAGTCGGTAGCATAACTTTTTCCAAGCCTCACCCGTACCTTGCAGAGCAGATTGATACATTGCACCATGGACTCAAGTACGTGGTAAACAAGCCCAATGGCTATTGTCGTTCGGCACTAAGTTTTTTCACAGAACCAGCAGGTAATCTCTCGGGCTCTCGCGGGCAAGGAAGACATGTACGAAGATATTTCGACTTCCATTCGCACCTCGATTCGCATCCTTTCCGCCTCCGAGATGGGGAGGTGGGGGTCAGTCGCCCCGTTCCTGATGTCCTTTATCAGCTTGCACCAATGCCTCTCCAAAAACACGGCATGCCTGCCGCGTGGACGATGTCGTCGTCATGTTTACGAGAACGACGTCGAGAACGACGGACGAGCACGGTATGTGAAGATATATAAAAAAGAGAACACCATCACGTCAAAACCTGAAGTTGAATTCCATTCGCGAGGCCTTCCTGACACGCACACATGAGGTCACCGGACCTGTTCAAGGTTCACGCTGTTCGTGCCTTCTGAGACATGCGAAAATGCGTGAGTCCGTTTCCCAGCATTTTGTACTGCGATAATAGTTCAGTATTTAAACCTTGTTTTGATGCTTCAGCTCGCGTTATCCACAAAATGTTTCTCAAACGAAGCACGGAAAAGGTTAACACACTACGTACGTAGGTATCGTCGGTCTGTCGAAAAGGAGGTTCTTTCTGAAATTCCGAAAGGTCTGTAGGGATACCACAGTTCGGTAAAACCGGCCGACGGATGCCAACACCAGATCACTACTGAATGAAGTGGACCGCCAACGCTGCCGACGAATAATTTCTTGGCAAAAACAAAAACAGGCGCGGTAAATATCAGTAGATAAATGAGCAGTCGCCACGAATCCAGCGTACACATGTGACTATCATGGCCGTGGGTTTCATGTGAGAGGCTAAGATTCCTCGCCTTTGAACCGAGAAATTGTCACGACGCAGTAGTAGGTAGATGTTTTTTCTCGCTTCCCCTTGCTAGGGAGGAGATGCAAAAGGACCGCCAGGACAAGACGTGAACTCCTTTCTCCTCCACGAAAATCGTTTCACTACATAGTGCCAACGTCAACAGCAGGTTTTCTCATGAGCCACACTCTCTGACGAGGGTACGTTGCCAAAATAGTCGTAGACTGCTAAACCAGCAACAAGGGGGTGAAAGGTTCTCTGGAGTCACCTTGCCACGAAGTCGGTGAAACGTCTATCATCCTCAAGCAGCTCGTGCCTCTCGTCGGACAGAGCCTTGAGGAGGTAAAGGTAAAGTCCGATTGGGTCTGTAGTGACCTGCACAAATGAAGAAGCAACAACCACGGCCGGTTACTACGTCGTACCAAACAACCAGAGCTTTTACTTTGTCCTATCCACGCAATCTATCGTTCGAGAGGATCTGCCGTCTCCTGCACGGGGCAAGCAGAAGGAAAACATGGCTGACCTCATGCGTTTATATGCACCTTCTGATAAAGCGCCAAGGTGCGTCAGCCACAAGAATCTGGCACAACGAAGGCCACAATCGTTGCGAAACGACGACGATGCTCGCTTCTCTTTTTGTAGGTGTTGGAAAATTCCACCCAACGCGTATTCGTGTGCCCACCAATAATCATGCACCCCGAATGATAGTAATCCTACTGACCAACAGGAGGGGAGAAGATACACGCGACCAGAATTCAAGAAATCTTCCAATGACATTATTTTTCGCCATCTTCTCGCGAGAGCCCTTGACGCTGACAAGAGACTGAGCGACGAAGGAAAGTAGTTGCTGCGGCTGGAGAGGTGACGGTGTGTAGCCTAAGACATATATATAGAGAGATGGGCTATTTCCTGATCACCAAGGACCCGGATGCCGGTTGCGAACAGCGCACGTCAATATTCACTTGTAGTTTGCTCCAGTGGTGAATGGCGAGAAATTGTTCTGAGTCTCGTCTCAAGTTGTACTTGGTTCTGGTGAATGGGGAAGCACGGAACCGAATTCTTATGTCCTGAGGATTGGGGCGCATATTGTGTTAAATGGGGTATGTGCAAGTAGACGCGAAACAATCCCATAAAAGCAGCAAAAGATACTCATGGTCATTGACACGGTTGGTCACTCGCCTTTAGTGCACCAGCCTTGACGAAGGGTACTGCGGCCGAGATCGCAAAGCCTTGCCGTAGCTCCTTCTTGCTCATGACGGGAGCGAGGCACACCCGGCCATCCACCCTGGAGGTGTTTGTCGCGATGTCATCTTGCACTACCAAGCGGATAACCCCAATACATTCGTAGGGGGAGTAAGCTTATGTGTCAGTCAGCGATCGTCTTGCACATGGTTTCTGCTTCCTCTACGACTGGAGCACGTGGTGAATAGCATGTGGGTTCAAGTGGTGTCATCGTGAGCTACGCGCCAACACAACTGCGTTTGATAATCGAATGCGGTTCCCGGCTTTCGATCGAGATATCGTGCAGAGCGGTACGTGGCATTGGCCTTTCCTGTTCTCTGTGCGGTCGACCGCGTGAACCGACCCTTTTGTTTATTACGAACGCCCCATCATGAATGATTGCGCCGATCCGCATGTCTGCACTTGCGCTCTAGGCGCTTCTTTGCGCGTGATACCGTCGTATTGAAAGTATGAAAGTTTGGGGGCAATAAGTGAAAGCATTCAATGTCCTTTGACTTCCACCGAATAGTCGAGCACTGCGGGCAACTGTAGCCCTGTACCCTTTTTCACGAAGGTGGAAAGCAGTTTGCACGTCGTTCAGCTGGCAGCAGGTTCAATTTCACACTGGTTGTGAAGCATCCCTGGCGCTCTAAGGACCTAACGAGCACTACACGGCAATGCCTTACATTTGGCGGCGTAATCTGCGGCATTCTTTCCCTGGACGGCGCTGTTCATCTCGGCGAGCGCCGCTCTCTCCGCTTGCCCCCGCCTCCCCGCGCACGAGGCGTCACGACGCTCCTTCTCTTGGCTCCTCGCCTCTTGAAACTTTTCACACAAAGACCATGGTAAGATCCCATGTTAGGTTGTATCCAGAATGACTTCATCTCGAAGTCTGCCAAAAAGCCTACATGAATGTGAACCGCCGGTCAGAATTGAACGCCTCGGCGTCTTCAACATGTGGCGCGTTTTGCCCCAATCGAACGACATGCTCGATGTTTCGAAGTGTGTTCATCCGCGGTGGACTGGTTTGCTGGCGTCACGGAGGTTGTTTTAATTGCGGGTGGCGTTCCTTTGTTGCATACTCGCAGGCAACTCCTGCCCCCGACCCCTCTGTGGCGACACCTCATTTGGGTCTATTCATGCCGGTACAGACGTTACTGCGCGAACGACTATGCTCTCGTCCACAGACATTACCAAGTGATGCACAATAATTGCGGTAATTTAGTGCTTCGAGAGGGCGCCACCCTTCTCTCAAGACGAAATATGGCCTAGAACAATGTCATCGTTCTAGCATATGAGCTTGTTGCGCGATTGGAGCGTCGCAATAAAACGCGATATTGTTCACAGCACAAAACCTACCGTTGGTATGTAGGTGATTCTTCTCTTGTTCGGAGACGAAGCACCCTGGTTTTCGGGACGAACCACCTCCACATTTTCCTTTGGGAAGCCCACAATACCCCCAGTGGCAGTCGGTGACCGCGCAACAGCACCAGAAACATCAGCACCATCAGCTGATGTACGCCGCCCGAAGAATGGAGGGGAAAGCTCCGCCAGAGAAAGAGCTGTGACACCACCCGGTTGGCTTGCTTCTTGAACGATGCTTCTTTGCCCCCTGCACGGTTTGTGTCGTCGCGATCGCCGCAGGGAGCGACTGGATGTTGTCGCATGTGGAGGCATTTTGGTTCCCCCCCGCACGCCGGTAACGCGGAAGGCATTGGGGCCTTGAGCGGAGATGAGGGTCGCTTGAGATGGGGAGGTATTGGTGTATTGAGCCCGGCGGAGGTTAAATGCTGCGGAGCAGCCCTCGACGTTGATTGGTCGGTCGACGACGGTCTTGGACAGGCCTTTCGACAGCAAAGCACTGAGCTGTAGGGAAATATCGAAAGGAGGTGTTTTTCGGGGTCGGCGTATCATATCTGGGGTCGGCAACATGGGTGCCAGAACATTCAATTGCTTTGGGGGCGTCGATCTTCACGTTGTGAATCGCGATTCAACGGAAGCGGAGGGGGATGACTTGAAGCGACAATGATCGGCAAGCTGCTCAAGCAAGTCCGGCCAAAGCGTCCGTTGTACGGCCAAGAATCGGTGATGTCCTAAGTTAGAGCAGAAGATGTGGGGCGTGCGCGCAATCGAACTACGAGCCTCGACCACTTCCCTATGGTAGGCCCGCGAACAAAAAAGTAGGACAGTAGTGTATCCCGCACTTTCTACAGTTTTCCCAAACGACCCATGGGCATGTCCATGAGCAGCCCATCATGAGCGTGCCCATGGGAGCCCGTGGGCAGCCCATGGGCAGCCCATGGGCAACCCATGGGAAGCCCATAGGCGGCCAATGAGAGCCCTTCAACCGAGCCAGTGTTCTCCTAAACAACCATGTATCTGCTTTGGAACGGGCACTACAGCGGCTGATAACCCTAATGCCAACCGTAACCCTAACCCTAAGCCCACACGATACGTGCTAGGTTGGCGTTGGAGTCGAAGTTATAGGTTGATGTGAAGGTGGCTAAGTTCTAGGCTGATATGCCGGTGGCGAAAATCTAGGTTGAAGTGCCCACGGTGGGCACTTTATGGGCCGCCCATGGGCCGCTCATGGGCATGTCCGTGGGTCACCCATATGCAACCCATGGGCAGCCCATGGGTGACCCATGGGTGTCCCATGGGCGGTTTAACAAAACTGTCAGTAGTGTGGGAGATTGGGACAATGTGCCAGAGCGAAACGCTCCCGGCAAGTGTTTTGAACGCCACCGATGTCTACACATACAACCCGCTGCACACAAAGTACCCCCCGTCCCTGTCCTCATGCGCTCTGCCCCTCTATCCCCTTAGCAGCTGTCTTTGCATAGTTTCGAGGTTTAGGACAACGTTTTTTCACGTCGAATACACCACTAAGTCATCGCGGGTTTCCTGGGCTCGATGTACTCACGACTTTTTTACTACATCCCCGAGATAGGGCTGAATCGCACCTGCTTTTGCGGAACCACCCGACCACGCTGGTCCTGCTTTCGAACGGTCTCCCCTTTTACCGGCCCAGATCCACCCACCACCAGCTCATGGGCGTCGAACACGTGCCCACATTCGCACATCTTAAAGCCGAGTTGCTTCGTCCTGCCGGCACGGGCTTTTGTGCACACGCACCCCGGTTTTTCACACCGCCCGTGCCTTGGGAGAATCGCGGGAGCGAGGAAAAATTATTTCATTTCTTTGATTCTTGGACAGTATCACCGGTGCAGCATCCCGAGGACGTGAAGGGCAAAGAGCACTTCGGCATAATCGAGACACCTGTATCACGCCGAGTTGAAAGAGAATCAATGTGTAGACTATCACTTCGTGTCACTTTCTCAGAAGAACGCGCTGATGGCCTATCGCCAGCGCGCAGTGCTATGCAGTACGCCAAGACTTCGCTTCCATCATCCTCTACCCTCGCCCAAATCTCCGCCTTCTTTTCCCGCCCCTTCCAACCCCCGCGTTGCCTCTACTCACCGGATGCACAGCGTGCACAGGAGGCGGCCATGTCGGGAGCAGGCGCTCGATTTGGAGCCCGCGTTGTGGTACGAGTTCAGGAACGAGTGCCAGGCGCAGAAGCCGTCTCCGTCGAAGTAGCGCTTCACGATCAAAGCCGCCTCTTCTTTCTGGAGCGGATAGCCCACTTCGCGGAGGAAGCTGAGCAGCAGCCGGAGGACGGAGAGGGGGGAGGGGGGGGGGG